TGACTGGACGCTGCACCAGTTAACCGGTGACTGGACGCTGCACCAGTTAACCGGTGACTGGACGCTAACATCTGGTTAACCAGTGGCTGGACGCTGCACCGGTTAACCAGTGGCTGGACGCTACACCAGTTAACCAGTTGTGTTAACATTCAGGTACAATAAGGTCAAATTAAGAGCAAATCTAATTAAACACTGAAGAAACACAAAATATTACCAAGTATTTTTGGTCTAGTTTCTAGATCAAATATTTTAGTTCAGTTAAATAAGTCAAAAGTAACTTTACAAGTAATTATTCGGCAAGAAATAGGAGCTTGTTTTAAATCAATATTTGTGAAAAACTTCTAGTTCCACTGGCAGATTAACTTATGTGAGAAATGTCTTGTAATAAGTGAAATAATCAGCCAATGGAACTTTTTAAAAATCAATATTAAGGGATTATTGACATAAAAAAGCTCCTACATCTTAAATTTACTGTCATCTTATTTCAAGTGCACTAAGACATTTACACTAGAAATTAAACCAAAATACTTTGTAAGCTTTAGTGTTTTTGCAGTGAACCAATCAGAATCTAGGATTTAATGTCATTTAATTCCAGATTAATTCTGATTGGAGCTCCAGCCAGCACAGTGTTGCACATTTTAAAGATATTTTTAGGGACATGTTTGATACTAGCAAAAGACACGTGGACCAATCAGAGGACTCAGATGTTTGACATTTGGTACATCAGTCAGACGCAGGCGGAGCAGACTGTTAGCGTCTGAGTGTTCAGAAACCAAAGACGCAGCAAATGCTGCAGCAACTGCAGCAGGCAGGCCAGGGCAGGGTTAGTGTAGGGTTTGAACCGGTGAGTGAGGCGCTGTCCGTCGTTCCAAGTAGCATAAATATGGTTTTACCTACAAGCGTGACCCACATGGAGAGCGCCGTGCCGTAAACGCTGAAGTACTCCAGGATGTCGTACCTCATAAAGCAGAGGATGGAGAGGCCTGGACCGTCGCACGCATGGTAAATCTGCAGGAACAGAGTCACAAAGTTTCACCACCATAAACTGGACTAAACCAAGCCAGGACCCCCGAGACCCTTCACAATAAAGTTACTGCAAAATTTGACTTTTATTCAGTGAAACAATCAGCTGATTCATTGCAAAAATTAAGTCATTTTTTTGCATTAATGCTTCTAAAAGAATTTTAAAATGCAAAAATAAATTAAAAATATTTTTAAGAAATGACATAATTGTCAATGAGAAATTAACAACCATAATTAACAAAATAGCTCAAATTCAAAATTATAGGAATTTTAAAATTAAATTAACATCTTATCTGGTTAATATTACATTAATAACTTTTATATTTCATCGTGATTTAAAATTTTTATTTTTACATTTTTGTTTGAATATTTTGACGGGTTTACTTTATTTCAGTAACATTTTAAATTATTTGAACTGCTAATTTAATAATAACTATTAACTGATTTTTAATCACAGTCATTTAATTAATAAGTATTTGGTTAATACATAAGCAATTAAAGTAACATTACTTACATTTATGTATTTTTTCAACTAATTAAATCAAATTTAACATAAAACACCAAAATAAAAAGCCCTAAAAACATCATACAGTCACCAACAGAGAAACTAGTAACAAACATATTTTACTACTAGTTCTCTAAATCATCCATACACATCAAATATGTTGATCAATAATTATGGTTCAAGAGCAACAGCAAACAGGTGAGTTTTTGGTCTGATTTAAAGGATCTCAGGGTTTCAGCTGTTCTGCAGTTTTCTGGAAGTTTGTTCCAGATTATGGGAACAAACCTTTTTGCTACAAGCTGATGAATTTTTTGCTGAGCTCATTTTTAGCTGTAATGAATAAAAGACAGCCGGTGGGAGTTGCCGGTCGTCCTTTACGCTGCAGGAAAGTGAAACGGTTTTGGATTCTCACCGCGGTGAAGAACATGGTGAAGAAGTAGACCATGGCCTCGGTGTGGAAGCCCCTCTTGGCCGCCACGCTGGCGGCCGGCAGGAACACCAGGCTGCTGGCGGTGGGCAGCAGCATCTTGGCGATGAAGGCGCCCATGGCTGGATCAGACTGAGGCGGTGAAGCTTTCACAGCAGAACATTTCTGACCTGCTCCTCTCCTCTCTGTGGGTCGGTGGACAGCTGTCCACTGAGGCCATTTAAAGTTTAAACGTCCCCCACATGACGGGGCCATGTGGGCTGCGGGGGTCGTGTTGTTGGTGACCAGCTGTCTGCATACCAGCGACTTGACGCAGGGCGAGGACCAACATGGCCGACTGTTTCTGCGAACGGCTGCAGGTTGACGTGAAGCATCTGTTCCTGCGTTAAAACGACTCTGCTGTCAGATTCTTCTCTTCCTGGTCCAAACGCTCCTGATTCCATCATCACACCTTCAGTGGATAGTTTCTTCCACACTGAGACCAACGTTAGCTGCGTTTCCATTTACCATAAAAAGGCACAAATTGAAATTATGAAAATAAATTTGATTAACAAAAACATTGAAATAATAAAAAAGCCTCAATAGAAAATAGAAAGAGAACCAAAGCAGCTGAAAATGGAACAAATGTTTAAGCTTTGGTCCCAACAGAACCGAGTCTACTGGACTCAAGGTGAGAAAACACCGAATAGACGGCGGTATTTACAGAAGCAAGCTCAGAAACCGAGACATTCCTTCTGCCTTTTGTTGAGTCGATCAAATAGCCGACTGCCTGAATTAAACCACATGATTTATGTATAAAATATGTATATTTCCAATGAGCCTCAGCCACCTTGGATTAGCAGGCTGAATTTAAAAAACGTTTCTCTGCAGTCGAACCTTCAGTGCCATTCTCCAGCACAGCTTTGAGGCCAGTCTGATGATTTGTGTGGACAGGAGAGGAAAGTAAGAAATGCAGAGCGAGTCCAGCTTTCTGCTGCTTGGAGGGAATCTGTAGTTTTTATTTGTCACTTCCTGTCGGGGAGAAGATTTTATAGCCGGCTTCGCTCTGCGGTTGCTCGTCTCGAGGCTGTATGTCTTCATTACGGGGTTTATAAGTGTTGAGCTGAAATCCTGCCGAGTTACGCCCAGTTAAGTGCAGACATCAGCTGGGAGCACTGGTGAAATCCTCTGCTGCTCCAGCTGGACAGTAAAAACCTGCCGCACAAACATCAAGATGTGAAAGGTTGACTGTTTGGGTTTTGTTGATTTTTATTTTTTCTCGTTTTGATCTGTTTTATAACTGCAGCATTTGATTCAGATAAAAACTGAACTGGCTTCATGGTTCTTGGTTCTGAAGAGACGGTATAATAAACATACAAGCAGTTCTTGGTATTTAAAAGAAAAACATTTCAGTTCATCTCAGTCATTACTAGGATAAAATAACCAGATAGATTAATAATAGATAAACTGGTCAAATACTTTTAAAAGTGTTAAAGTAGTGAGTCACACAAACTGCAGAAAATATGGAAATAGTAAGAAAAACAGAGACATGGAGTTGGTTTAAAGTGTTTCTCTGCTCGTTTCTCCTCAGAGTTTTAGGACCGAAGCTGCTGTTGGACCAAAAAAAAAAAAAAAGCAGCTAATACACCAATGTGCTAAATGCTGAGCTAATTAGCGATCTAACATTTTTGCTCACTTTGAAAACATACTTGGCTTGTTCCTAATTAGATTTTCAGAATAAATTCCAAAGTGCTGATTTACTTGGATGTTTGGTAAACTTTCAGTTAAATAAAGTTCTGCTTGTTCGCTAATAGCAGAGCTAAGCAAACAACTTTTTATTTGTTCAGTCTAGAGCTACAACACTGATTTTAGATGCACTCTTTAAAGTGTGGCTTGTAAAATAGGCAAGTTTCCACCATGGCAAAAAGCGGCCATATTGAAACATAAAGTGAGGTTGATACAAGTTTGGACGGCGTTCCAGTTGATTTTTACGACTGGGAAGTTGGAATTTCCGAGTTCCGACTACAAATGGAATGTTAGCGTGTTAGCAATAGCTTCTGCTAATTACCATGGTGGAATAGCATTTAGCATAATGTCTATTATTACTGAATCAGGTTTAGCTGCTTAGTTATCAATGTTCATCACGATCTGTAATGAAAAGTCAAAGGGAGAAAATTCAGACTTTATGCTCTACAAATTTACCAAATATTTTCTTATATCTGTCAAATTAAACTTCTGGATTCAAGGTCTTACATGAGAAAAGGCAGAGTATCTTCTCACCAGCTAATAAAAGCTAACATGGAGCTGTAAGGCTGCTTTGAGTGAAACAGCTGAACCATCAGCCATCATATACTGGACAGTCAACATCCACTTTTAACCCAACTGGACCATAACCAGTTCAGTCCTGTGATGGTCAAACTATGAGCATGTAAACAAACCCCATGTGGCACATCAAGCTCACCATCAGACCAATCTGTGTTTGCCTCCAGAGAAACCTTATTTGACTCTGAAGGATGTCTGAAGGCGGCGTGGCAGCAGTTGGCTCTGCTGCTCCCTCTCAGCTGTTGCACCTGCTCCAAGGCTCGAGGCAGCAGCACAAAGGGCGCAGTATCACAGAGGACCCTGACCACATGCCTCCGATTCCCAGGGAGTTTTACCAACCAGAGCAGGCAGAGCACCGGGGAGGCTAAACCACACCATCTGCCGGGAATCAACTGCAAATACGACGCAAACAAATCTGTTGGCAGATCTTCTCTTCTGAGGCAGCAGCATGATCTCAGCCTGAAGCTGTGGCAGAAATCCAACCTTTAGTGGAGGAAAACAAAATGTTTTAGTCGTTTATTGATTTGTTCCTGTTTGTTGGACGAAAGCTCAACCTTAAAACTCAGAGGTTCGGTAAAGTTCATCCATCTCTTCACATTTATGTATGACTGCAGGACAGAAAACCCTTTTTGGGTGTAGACGGTGTCTGATGGTTGCTATGGAAACCTGAAGGTCCTTCTTTGGTGCAGTTCTTTATGTTTATACCCCATGGAAACAGAAAGTCATGGATTAGAAGTTCCCAGGAACTCTGAACTAAATAAAACACAACATTCCTTTGTTTTTGTGCCTTCTGTGTTTTTTACTCCTGTATTTTGTTATTTTTAGTTGGTTTTACTGGTTTTATTTATTCTAGTTTTCCATGGATCATCTTCCTTCTGGTCATTCTGCCATTTTAACCATCTGATGTCTCTGTGTTGGGATTTTCATTAAATATCCACGCTTCACATGATTCTGCCTACATACTGCCTGTGTTTGGTGCAAAATATCCTTGATTTTTTCATTTATGTATTAGGAATTTATAGGGTGTATTACATCTTGCATTCACACCAGGCCTGTTTAGTCTCTTTAATCCAACTCCAGTCCGTTTGTCTAGAAAGTCCAGTTGGTTTGGGGAGGTGTGACTGTAATTGGACCAAAAAACAAATTCTGGTCCGCCTACAAACCTCGATCTCAGTTCTGTTGACATGAACTGCATATGTGAACGCCAAGCGGAAAATCAGGCCCAGCGCAGGGCATTCTGGGTAAATATAATCAAAACAAACATGCTAGCCTAGCACTAGCCGGAGAAATGACTTGTGGCCTTTAGAGAAATCCTAGAACTGCTAAAATATGACGCCACTTCGTCTTTGTTTAGATTTTGTGAAGAAGTTAAGTTGCTATCAGCGTCTTCAGAGGTTTTGTTGTTGTTTCCTTCAATGGTTCTTGCTACAGCGCCCCCACAGGTGAGGAGGGGAACAGGTTAGTCCCCAATCAAACAAAATCTACCGGACTATCAGGAGTGAAAACATCTTTGGTCAGTTTATTGGCTGATTTAACTTAACCTGAAGTACAGCATCCATCCACCTCCAGGGTGATCCTGGGCTGTTTCCAGGTCAGGTTCTGTAGTTTTGGTTCAGGTGCAGGATATCCTCCCTTTAGACAACAGTACCAACTCCAGATGGACTTTATCAGGTGTCACATGATGGGTTTCCATGACGACGTCTAGTGGCCGACTGTTGGAGCTAGTGGGTTTTTGGAACCTTTCACAGGAATTGTGCATGTAAAGATTTCCCCAAATTATTGTATTTTACAGACATTTTTTTTAGTTTTCCATGTCATGAGACTTATAGGAGCAACTTTATGATGCATTTTTGACTGATGTGTTCAATATTATCGGATACTGAGACCTTGTACCAGGGATTAAACGTTACCCTCTGCAGCCATGAGGAAAGCCCTGGAAGTCGCCAAGGAGGTAAATATGAATGACTGTGCAGGTGTTACTGCTCCTCTATCGCCCCAGATACACCGCATGCGTCTCCGCTGCACACTTCACCGTACCTGGTCCGGCTCAGAGCACAGATATCTGCTCTTCAGAAATTGCAGTAGACTTTTGTGAGTTTGTTGAAAGCAAGTGAGCACGATGTGTCACCAGATCATATCAACAACGAACAATTTCCAAATAAATGCAACTTATGCTCTAGTGAGTCTTGCATGTTTTTTTCTTTTCATGTCACATTTTTTGACTAACGGTTTGTTGTAAAAGTAGAAATCCCATTAATTTGCATGGAATTCAGTGATACAACTTTTATTTTGACAGCCACTGCTTTCCTAATGTCATCAGTGCCTTTATGCAGCTCAGCAAATGTGTTAACAGCCCTTCAAGAAGCTTTTTGCATTTAAATATGTCAGCTAGCGTCAAAGAGGAAAAAGTGATGTAGAACGCAGAGTTTATAAAATAATTGTCACCCCTGACATGGATCCAAATACCATGGTTCCTTCAGAGTTTCATGCTGTGGATGCTACTAAATGATTTTTAAGAAATGAGAAGTAGAGGTCATTTAGTCCAATAATTCATCTTAAACATCTACATTATTTTTCTTTTAACTGTGTTTTATCTAACATCCAATAACTGAGCAAGGCCAGTTTTCTTCCTCTGAATATTTCTCACTGCGGTTCCGCTTATGACACTTTTAATTGCTCTTTGTCTGGAGGCTCTAACCCTAATGACTCCCAACTCTTTGCATGCTGCTAATGGGCACGCTCCAAAACACACACACACCCATGGGAGTGTTACTTGCATTCACTCAGCAGCTTTATTAAACTCTGACATCAAGGTGGCGCGCTTGAATTACTGGTGGGACCGTATTGCAGACGGTGTGAACTGCCTCCATCAGCAGGGAGCTAACGCTAAAGAACAGGACCAGCACACGTCAGGCCCAACTCTGTTGCTTGTATGTTGCCTGTTTTCTATTATGGTTATTATTCAAGCAGTTTGGCTGCAGAAAAGATGCTAAACATGTTTTCTTTTTATTTTATTTTGAAGTGTTTAT